TAGGCCGGTAGCATTGACCGGTGCAAGTCAAACATCCAACCATGCATAAGCAACGAAATAAAAAAATCAATCTTAAAAACTTAATAACTTACACATATGATTCAAAAAGCCAAAACACTATCGAGTAATCAACCCATCAAACATTTGTAGTAGAGTTAGTGGCACCGGCAATTGGTAACTCGAAAAATAAAAGATAAAAAAATTAACCATTTATCATTAATATATAGGAAAGAAATAACAAATTAAATGATAAGAGTTATAGAAATTACCATTTTGCATTTTCTCTACATCTTGTAAATTTTCTTCAATAATAATTGGCGTCGATGAATTTTTAATCCAATCTTGAGCACATATAAGAGATTCCACTAAGGTAGGAGTTAAAGAACTCCTAAAGCGATCAAGAACTCTTCCTCCGAGTGCTAAATGTCGATTCCGAGGAGACTGTAGAAACGAGGAACCGTTAATACATCCCTAGCCATTTGTGAAAGGATGGGAAACCGAGGAGCATTGGTTTTCCACCACTCTAAAATCTTGAAATCAGCACTATTATTTTCAGCACTTTCATCAAGATATTTATCCAACTCCGTTTTATTTCCTCCACTTTCAATATCATACTTGTATTTTTCAAAACGCATCATTATCTCCATTTTTATTCTATTTTCTTCATCAATCATTTCTTTATTTGCACAATCCACATCTATTCCCCAACTCCCACTAGTTTGGCCAATTTCATCTTGAGATGATGAACGACAATAGAAATCATACATGGCATTTATAGATCCCTTCACAATATTTGACATATTTTGACCCTCTAAATCACCATACAATTCCTTGATTGAAAATTCAATAAATACAAGTTTATGCCTAGGATCAAGTATTGTCGCAATATAAATCAACTTATTCATTTTTTTAATATCCCCCCAATACTTCTCAAACTTTTCCTTCATTTTATTAGCCAATGCAAAATCATCCAAATCCTCACTTCGTTGCCATTTTTTGAAAACATGTTCAAGCGCATAAATCTCTTCAAAAAAAATATTTGAAGTCACATATAAGGAACCCGAAATGCGCAAAGTAAGGTTGTAAAAAATTTTCAACATGCCCACCATCTCTTACAAGTCTTCCAATCATCCACATTAGGTGGCCCAACAACATTATCACCAAGATCTACATCAAATTCACTCCTATATAAAGGATCAATTTGCTCATATCTCTTAAAAGCTCTCTCAAACTTTAGAGCCGACTCTAACATCAAATATGTTGAATTCCACCTAGTTGCGACATCTAGTTGTAACAAACTCTTAGAATCAATTTTCTCAAGTTGAATGCATTCCTTAAATCTTCTCAACCTAGCCGGAGATTGCCTCACAAACCTAACAGTACGATCGAATACGAACGATCGAAGGATTAAAATGTTTTAACCCATCGACAACAACTAGATTCAAAGTATGTGCCATACACCTCATATGAATGAATTCTCCATCTAAGATGCTATAACCCCAATTCTTAATCACATCTTTTAAGTGTCTAATTGCCACATCATTCGAACTTGCATTATCGACCGTAACACTAAAAACCTTCTCAATTCCCCAATCAATCAAGCACTTCTCAATGGCAATACCTAAATCTACTCCTTTATGACTATCAATCGGACAAAAATTCAAGATCTTTTTATGCAACTTCCAATCATTATCAATAAAATGAGCGAGTTAAACACATATAATTGATTCTTTGAATGGATGTCCATGTGTCCGTAGTGAGGCTAATTCTTTGACTATTTTGTTTCAAAAATTGCTTCAACTTTATTTTCTCATCTAAATAAAGTTGATAGCAATCTCTTGAAATTATAAAACGAGATGGAAGTTTGAATCTAGGTTGCAAATTAGACAAAAACTTTTTGAATCCCCTACCCTCTATATGCTTAAATGGAAGTTCATCTAGAATGATCATTTCGGCTAAATCTTTTCTACTAACAATTTGATCAAACTTCCATGTGCTAAGACTATTTTCTCCCACTTCAAGCCTTCTAAGGTCTAATTGAGTTTGTGTAGAGTCAATACAATTAAAAGGGTTTTTTTTACAAGTCAAAATATGAGACTTAAGTGAGGTTGTCCCATTTTTTGAAGGATTACAAGGAAATACCTTAGCACAATAGTTGCATTTAGCCTTCATGTCTTTATTTTCATCTTCAAACTTTGTGAAATGGTCCCACACCATCGATCTTGGCTTCATTGATTTCCTCTTCTTTCCTTTGACATCTTCTTGATTGTTAATTGAAGTTGGACCTACACCTACACTTGATTGTGTATTGGGATTGCTTGAACTCACATGTTCATAATTCATCTCTTCGGATTGAGATTGTGACATCTACATAAATAACAAAGGAACAAGAGTATTAACCTTCACACTCTTAAATAATCAAAAAAACATAATAAATATACACAAGTTGCCAAGTTGGTAGCATAATATGGAATGGAACTGCCTACTCGTTGATAACCACAAAAAAGTAGTCTAACCCTCAAATCAAATATAGGCGGATGCTACTGCCTCTGCCTTAACAAAAGGTGTATCCAACTATCCATACTGAAGAGTGAAGACAGGTTAGACACTTAGACGAGTAGTAAAATTGGGTAGAATTCTATAAAATCCTCCCCTAAATCGGTAGCAAACAAAAAAGTAGTCTAACCCTAAAATCAAATATAGGCGGATGCTACTCGCTCTGCCTTAACAAAAGGTGTGTCCAACTCGTCCATAATGAAGAGTGAAGACAGGTAGACACTTAGACGATACCAAAGTTGGGTAGAATTCTAGAAGATCCTTCCTTAAATCGGTAGCAAACAAAAAGTAGTCTAACCCTAAAATAAATAGCTTAATAGCTTTCATACACAAAACAAATGCTATTAAAATTACATGGGTATATGAAAAGGTATGTTCATTTTTTTTTCGAATTCATTCGGTAATTAAACTCTATTCATTTAATTATGTAGAAATTTTAAGCATTCATTTCATCTATCCAATTTTCGGTTATATGTATGCGATTAAAAGAGAGAACATGAGAAGATAAATGAAGAAAGATTGCTTAACAACAATGGACGAGTTCTTTGTGGATAAGAATTTAGCTTAGTTTTACTTGTGTGATGCCAAATTCTAAATGAAATGATGAATTACGAGTTTTAATGATTCTTTCAAGACTAAATGAAGATTAACAACGGTTAAAGATTTTAACAACTATCAATTTTAGAATTAGTTATGCAAATCAAGAACCAAGCAAGAAGAACGAGAAAATAAAGTAATCAATGAGAGAAATCAGCAAGAAGAGTAAATTCAATATTGATCTAAAATGACAGAATAGCTCTTTTACAATGAATTACTCATGATTTATACGAGTGTTTATTTCTAACTAACTTTCCCTCTCAATCTAACGACCAAACCAACTCTTGCCATGTTAGCTTACTAACTCAACTCCCTCCCTAACGGCTACCATTCACATCCTCACATGCTCTTTAGTCTTTCCTTTCAACCGATTCCAGATTTCCATACATCCATTTGCTACCTTATTGATTGTTTCCAAGCTTCCCATTTCCTGTCCTCTACATGGTAACCAAACTAGCACCACTAGGGGAGGATCCATGTTAGCTAAAACAGATCGATCATGACACTATTATACTAATAAATTAGACTAACAAACTCACTAACCAATCATGACACTATTTAATCACATGACTGATAAATTATACTAACAAACTTACTAACCAAATCTGCGAGTTTAGGTTTTGCTTTGGAACTTGGAAGTCTGAATAGTCAAAGATCCATCACATGCCTCACACACAAATTTTGAATTGGAAAAAGAGATAAACCTTCTAGTCCAAAAGCAAAAACAAAAATATTAGAGAAAATATTTCTTCCTCCCTCTCTGTCTCTCTATATATATGCTATTGCAAGCAAACATAACTACACAAGTCCTCCTTTTCACTCCATAGAAGACATCTTATGAGTCAAGAAAGCAATGAAATCTAGGCATGTTTGAGATCGGTTTCGCTATTATCCGCACAATGTCCGCACTAGTATCGCTTCTCTCAATCGGGGCTAATCTAGCTCGAGCAAGGATCCTGCCACCACCTTCTTTGGTTTCAACAAAATCACCAACCTCTCAAGTTCTTGTAAATTCAAAGTCACATAAAAACGTGCCAAACACAATACGGACGGTAGCTCCTAGCCTTGGAAAAATACCTCCTAGTGGTGGCGTGTGCTAATCCCATCCGGAACAAGTAATCATTTCATTATTCATTTGAAAGGAAAGAAAGGAAAACAATCAATAAAAGAGAAAACAACATAAAGTGCGGAATGGGAAGCTTGATAACCATGTTAGCTAAAACGAGAAAAATGCCGAAACAAACAAAGAAGAGAAAAGAAAATAGGAGTTAGACATGAACAAATCGTCACCCTTACCCTAGCTAAAACCAAAACACGGCTTGATAACCAAAGTAACGCAAATAAAGTGCGGAATCACATACTCCAAGCAACTAAAAAGGAAAACGGATCACGGATGCCAACAGGACACAATAAACATTTCAAGGCAAGGCTTCGGGCTTCCAACCAAGATAACACCACGGTTATCAAAACTCACTAAGGAATCTAAAAAACAACATAATATATACCTAATACATCGTTGTTATCACATATCGAGCAAAAAAAAATTAAAATAAAAGAGACTAACCTTGAAAGACACGAAGCTTGACGAAGGAAGATTAGAAGAGGATTGGAGCTCGAAGAACTTGCTATCACTTGGAGTGGAGAGTGAAGAACGACGGAAGAAGAGTGAGGCTTTGAGAGTGCGAGATCCGTGAAAGGCCGAGAGTGCGAGAGACGAAGAAAGACTTGCCATCCTTGGAGTGGAGACCGGAGAGTGAAGAACGACGACGAAAGACTTGTGTTGAGAGTGCGAGAGACGAGAACGAGAGAGGCCGATTTTGCTCGTTGCTTGGCGGAGCTTGCTTGGAATGCTTGGGCGGCGACGGTGGCCGACCGGCTCGTTGCGTGACTTCGTCCGCCTCAAAAGGAAAGGAAAGACGAAAGAGGCGGCTAAGGGTAGCTGGGTGCAGGTAAGGGAGACAGGGACGGGGAGAGTCGGAGGCGGAGAGGGAGGCGGAGAGCTGCGAGTGTCCGAGTGTGAGATAGCGAATTAGGGTTAGATGATTAGGTATTTAGATATTATTTACTTATTCAGAATTAGAATTAGGAATAAAAAAAAATGGTTTTCGGTTCAAACCGTTTCTTAAAAAAAAAAACCGAACCGAACCGAAATTATTTCGGTTTTTTCGGTTCGGTTATAAATTATACATTTTTTAATTTATACCCATATCAAATTTCACAATTCGATCCGGTTTAATTCGATTTTCGATTAACCGAACCGTTTGATCACCCCTAGCTAAAACGATGTATGAAATGGAATTTGATTCTCTCACTGTTCCTAGAGTTGACGGCAACATAAGGTAAAATGCTGTCTCCTTCGTCACCGTCGGTTGATAATCCAGTTAACCTTTTCTATATCTTACAATTTGGCATATTTAAAACTATTGGAGGAAATAAAGACACTTGTCTTTTCTTCTGTCACAGTCCGCAACCCTCCCAATCAAAGACGTCCAGGGTTAAGAGTGGGATTTCAATATAAAACCCCAAAAGAAGTAAGAGGATAAAAAAATTGTCCTGTAAACGAAATGGTAGGTCCTTCATGATGGAATAAGGAAACAAAAAACAGTCTAGTTTAACAAGATACATTGCAAAAGAAAAGAAAAAAAAACATAAAAATGAGATATTGGAGTGGCTTTGGGCTACCATCAGATATGAGTCAGCAGAACTAGTTATTGCAAAAACCCCTAATAAAAATGAAATCATTGACTTTATGCGTTCGCCCTCTCATTTGGATAACGTACAAATTAAGATACAACATGCAAAGTTGGAATCTTGTGATCCATTTATGATTTCTTTTCTCCAACTTCATTAATTATATATACATAGTAAGGCATTTTGAACAGGGCAGGACTTGATGGTTTTGGCATTTGTCTACCTACTTTAATTTCCTATATATTGGAGAACATATCTACACTTTCTTTTTCATTGTTTTATCGGTTTATAAGTAAAAGAATCATTTTCAATTTTTACTTCCAACTTGTTTCAAGACATGTATGTCGGGCGCCACTATAGTTTTCTTAGAAGATAAGCTAATTAAAATCGATATATATTAATTATTTGAGATTTGGTGTAGTCGACAACGTGTAATTAATTAATTTAATTAATGGGACACGTACGGATGAATTTGGCAGGTATGGCTATAGATCACTCAAGTTCCCAATTCTATGGCAGCCACATAAGTTAATTTATATGGAGTTTTTTTCCACGTTAGCGTACTTCTATTTTTTTTTCTTTTTTTCTTTCCCAAAATAGGATTGTACGTGCATGTGTTAAATTTATTTACCATGCTAAGGTATATTCCACTAAACATTAATTCATGACAACCTTTTCTTTCCTAATTTAATTTACTAAACTAATGTAATGTAACCTAGGCATTAATACATGGCGATCTGTTTTTTCCTAATTTAATTTACTAAACTAATATAATCAATATTAATTAAGGTCAACTCATTAATAAAATTAGTTTCAATCCAACTATTCTTTAATAAAATTTGAGTACATCTCTACTGCTTTCCATTCTTGTGGCTTGAGTGGGTACATCTCTAATGCTTTCCATGGTTGCTTTAAACAAGCACACTCTTGAATTGTAATGGTTTGGTAATTGATAGGAAAAGATGAGATAAAAACAAATTCAAAGAATTATAAAGAGGAAAACAATAATAATGAGTGTACTGGGATTACAAAGAAAATTAAGATCATAATTAACTATTTTGATGTTCACTATCATCATAACTTACTAAGATGTCATGTGCTTTGGAGATTCACTCATCATCAAAACCATAGGGTTGAAGAATTGTTATTCTATCATATGGGTTTTGATTAGAAAATTTACAGATGAAACAATAGGCGTGTTTTTTTTTTTTTTAATAAGAAATATATAGGCATGCGTAATTTATTTCTTTAGTTTTGAGTGAAATTTATTTTATCTTGAAAATTAAATAAATATTTTTTGCGTAAAAACTCAATGTTAGAAGCAAGTATAAAATATAGAAAATTAACTCGGAAGTTAGGATTGTAAATAAAACGTATAAGAATAATTAAAGAAAAAAGATCATTGAAATCCGCACCAATCGATGTGAAGATTTATTAAAAGTTGATAATGGTCATAAAATAAAAGCATTAGTTTGAGAAGGTGATTAATATTTTTAAAAGTTGGTAAATTAGAAAAGTTAAAACAAGAGAGGTATCCAAATTTATAAGAGAATAGATGGATCGAAACTATATATCACCTTATATTATTATGGTAATTTTATTAATTAGTTGACCTAAATTGCTATTGACTACATTAGTTTAGTAAATTAAATTATAAAATTAATAAAAAAGTCGGCATGGATTAATGCTTAAGTACTAGAATCCTATAGCAAAAACTACATAAATAAATTTAAAACAACTTTATCTAAAAAAAAAAAAAACTCTTTAATGTTGTTTCTCCATATGAGAAAATATACTTAGTAATGGAAGAAATAAACAAAACAAACCAAAATCTCTCTCGGTTATTATGTTAGGTGTTCGTGGAGACGCTTTCTTGTGCCATTGAGAGTGATACACGTAAGGACCACATGCTTAAAGTCGGATACTCCTTTCATGTGACGAGAACTTCGAGCAACTTGACACAAACTTTTGGGCCCTCCATTTTTTACGAGTTGATGTGGTGTTGCATCCATGAGACAAGTGTACCGGTCTTTCCTTAACCGTGTCTTTATAATGGAACAGCTTATGATTCTCTCACATGTTGTATGAAGTTTGTGACTTCGCTTACTTTGGTCCAGTTCGGATTCTTTGATTTTCCCAAACAAATCACAACCGAAACCGGGAGATTCCTCCCTTTTGCATTCCTCAAAACTTATATCATCAAAGAGGTTAGTTTTGTTGCATTTGGTCTAACCTAATGGTCTTCATTTCTTAACCAAATTTTAGCCTCAAAAGGAGTTTCTTGTATCGATCTATCCGCATTTATCATCCTATACCCAGTTCTTTATCCTTGATTTAGTACAATCTTGTTGTCCGGGGAAGGGGTTTGATTAAGTTGATTCCTTTGTTTCTTTATCTCTTTCTCTCATTTTGTTGCGTTCCAATTTGGCTAAAATGTTGTCTTAGATGAAACTAGAAGTCGAATGATCATAGACCCCGTTCCTTGATCGACTTTTGAATTACGCATTTTTATGTTGAAGAGAGAAATTGATTTAGTTTTCTCTAATGGGTACCATGGTCTCCATATCCGAGCACATGAGATATGTTCTGTTCTTAAATATCTCTTTTCTCTTGGTGGCATGTGTTTTTTTGATTATGCAATTCAATTCGCTGAAATTTTTGTGGTGAACAGCTTCTCAACCTTCCAAGGAATATGGTCGGCAAGATTGCCGAGGGTTCCATAGTCTAGATGACTACAAAGCCAAGTGTTTTTACCTTAAATCAAATAGTCCATGTGTCTCTCAAGGCTATATTGACTATCTTTATCTTTTCTATTGCAATCTTGGAAAATTTCCTCTGTTGGGCTATTGTCTTTCTTTTCTTTGGCTTCTTGTATCTGTTCTATCCGTTGGGGAACACCGCTTCGAATACTTTTGTTCTTCATTTGAAAACTTGTCTAAGCTCGTTGAATTTGTCTCCTACAATTTACGGGGTTACCCTCCTTTCACTTGGCAACGGTGCCCTCGATGTTTTTGCTAGCTTCGGTGTCTTTTATGGGTGAGGGGACATCCGACGTTGGCATTAATACGATACTTAGGTGGTGCTACCTTTGTTACTTGTGTTGTGGTTGGAATCATAAGCATTTTAGCGAAGCAAGAAGAATTTAGAGTCAACATAGGTTCCTTTGTTAGGGATGTTTGCTTCTTCCTTTTAGTTCTTGCATCCTTAATTTTCATCTTGATTTATGGCAAGATCAATCTTTGGGGTGCGATGGGGTTTTTGTCGATGTATATTGTTTATGTGATGGTTGTTTACTTCTCACAAGTCCTTTGGAATGATGGTAGAAATGAAAGTGAAAGGGACGTTAATCCAAGCTATTGCAGTGATTTGAATGTACCAATTTTAAATAGCATGGAAAAAGGGGAGCAAAATTATTTGAAGGAATGTGGTTTAGAATGTGGTACCGAAGTAGAAATGAACAAATGTTGCTTCGCGTACGATTATCGGCTCCTTGTAGTATGCTTCTCCGGATCCTCGAGATGCCTCTTTCCTTACCTAAGAGATTGACGAGCTCTCGTTGTTTGTGAAAAGAGATGGTCGAAGCCAACAACGGTTGCTTCAATGACATTGGCACATGTTCTCTTATCGACTCTTTGGAATGCCCAAGATGATAGTGCCACCTTCAATAAAAGTCTAATGGTATATGGAATCGGGTTGATGTTCGGAATGACATTTGGGGTTCTTGCGTATGCAACAACCGAGAAGTCAAGTCCACCGCGAAGTGCTTACTTTCTTGGCTAGCGGGAGGGTTCGTAATGAGTGTGACATGGAGTTATATTATAGCTCGGGAATTGGTAGGCTTGTTAGTTTCACTTGGGTATGTATTTGGAATAAGTCCTTCTATACTAGGACTAACGGTTCTTGCTCGGGGAAATTCAATTGGTGATTTAATAACAAATTTGATATTGGTCGCGAATGGTAGCCACGAAGGTACACAAGTAGCTATATCGAGTTGTTATGCGAGTCCCATCTTCAACATCCTTTTTGGTCCAGGATTGTCTTTGGTTTGCTCGACTCGGTATTCCTACCCATCATCTATTGTGATCCCAAAAGATCCATATCTCGTGGGAGACAATAGGATTTTTGGTAGGTGGCTTGCTTTGGGCACTTGTTGTTTTACCAAGGAGAAACATAAGGCCGGATGGATTATTGGGAGGAGGTCTCTTAGCTATATACATTGCGTCCGTGTCTTTAAGGCTAATTCAAACACTTGGATCTCCAATTTGATGATACGCATGCTTAGTTGTAACCAGCTTCCTTCCCGTACGATAATCGCTACCGTAGTAACGCTAAAGGTGATTAGCTAACTTGCTACTTCGAGTGAGTGAAAGTCCGTCTATTTCTTTTGAACTTCCATGATAATTGCAATGCCTCATAAACCTTAATTTGTAATCTTGATGGCACTAAATTGAAAGTTGACGAGTGAATTAGCAACTTGTATGAACACCATTTCCGAATGAATGCATTTTTATTGTAATTTTGACAAAATGATGATTTTCTAGTAATGTGGGCTACCCTAGTCTTTCGGGGCCTAGGAATATTTACACGAGCATTTGCCGAGTAAATGAATGGGGCCGGGATTATTTTCATAGAGCTAGTCGTTAGGAAATAATTTGGCATTTCACTTTATTCTTCAAATGTTGGGAATGATCATCCGATCCTTGATTTTAGTATAGCTTCAACATGATTCTGGAAGATATTTGTTAGAGTTAGAATGCATATATGATCGATTTGCTCCTTGTAAGATTTAATTGTGAGACTTGTATTATACGCGGAGGCAAATAATGGCATCGGAATGATGATAATGCTTGTCCCTAGTTTAGCGTGTTCCGCAAAGAAAACATATTGATAGATGTAAATATCATGGGCTAGCGAAGTGCATAGTCGAAAACATGAAATGGAACTCGCACTTTTTGGAGCGAGAACAAAACAAAGAAGGAATATGATTGATTGTCGGGTTTTCCCTTTTATGAATCTTTGGTCGTAAAGGTTCTTTTCTAAAAACACAGCCTACCCTCCACCACACGGCAATTTCCATTTTATAAATCATCTTAGTTAGGCATACGCGGACTCGTGGAATGAGATCCTAGGCATCTTTTTAGGACTCGCACCAAAATCCTACTTTATAGTACTTTTACCCATTCCAACACCGAGAGGAATTGAGTGATTCTCAATCGTCACACGGCTATACCCTCCAATAGACACGGACTCATGCAATTGAATGGTGATGTCCCGAAGGCGATAATTTTTATCTATCCCCGGACCCCACTATTGGGAGGAGGCAACCAAACATATCACTTTCGACTTCGAGTCCAACTTAGTGGCCGGTGAAATAATATTTCTAATAGTCCAAAGTCCGAATCATTTTTATTTATTTTTTTATTTTTTTCCTATCATAAGTAAATGGAATATATCTAGATACTAAGGGTTATGAAGTAGAAATGACATAAGCACAATTAGAATTGATATTGGTGGCAAATGGATATGACAAAAGCGATAATTCCTTATATTATATTATGAATCTCATTGCACATTCACAAGTTTCAACGTAAACATCAACCCAGAAGATTAGATTGATGGAGTCAATTTTGGCCTGCGTCCCCAATTTTGGCTCGGAGCTACATTACCGAACAAGAGTTTGGCCCCAGGTAGAATACTGGTCACCGAACTTGTGCGGAATGTTGTTGTGGAATCATATGGCCGAGACCTTTCATATAGCTAGCAATTGCAGAGATGTAAAGGTCTTGGATTTAGTCGATTCCGTCGTGATGGAAAATGATTATAAAGAGAGAAGATACCGGCATGTTTTTAATATACTTTGGTAGATGATCGTTTTAGGAGCCAAATCTCTCAAGTATGGTATTATTACGTGGAGAAATTAAAATCTTACGAGTATGAGTAATTAGTTCTTCTTCCTCTTTGCTTGCAATGACTTTCCAATTAGTTTTTAACATTTTTTTGCATGACAAAATGAATTTAACTTGTCCTCAAAGTTAAACTAATTAAGACTTGAGAGAAGGAAACGCTACTTGTAATTTAGCCACTTGAGAAGGAGAAAAATATTAACGCAAGAAATTAAGCAATTGACATGAATGATTTCCTCTCTCTCCGTTTAATAAATGCAATGGATTTCGGGATGGGGATTTGAATAAAATTTTCAAGGTAAAGACCATGACTATGGCCTCCAATTTAATAATCGAAATTCAGGATAGCATGCCTTGAAAAAAGTTTGAAAGTAGATAAATGTTTAATTTCAAGTTATTTTTGTATTATAAGTATGCTAATTTTTAATTTTTCTGAAGTACATGAACTTTATTTTTTTTTTCATTTGACTATACTAATTTTTTCAAAACAACTAATCAAATATTTTTGTCAATTTTTTTATTAACTACCGATGCGTTCGTCACCTTTGGAATACTAAACTATAATTTTGTCTTCTTTTCTCTATTAAGTATGAGAACTTTATTTTTTTATGAGGATATTAACTTTTTCAAAAGTGTCAATGAAGTACTTTTGTTAATTTTTTCGTTAATTAATGACGTGTTTGAATATAAAATTATATTTTTATCTTTTTTGTTGCAATAAAATTTTCCTCCAAATTATTCTACTATTTTAAAATTTGACAAAGAATTAAACAAAAATTATTTTTTTAGTTATAAAATCTCAAACTAAACTCAATTAGGTTTGTTGTTAAAGATTTTGGGCATGAAAATTAAAAGAAACAAATTTGAGTTTTTTCATCAAAAAGATTTATTTGTATTTTTATTTAATTTTCACTCCTAAAAATCTAATTGATTTTTTTTTAAAAAAAAATAGTAAACCTAACTGAGTTTAGTTTAGGATTTAATAGCTAAAAAATAATTTTTTAAATTTTTAATCAAATTTTGAAATTATAGAATAATTGAGGAGAAAGCTTTATTCAAAAAAAAAAAAAGAAATTATAATTTAGCATTCAAACATGTGATCGGTTAATGAAGAAATTGACAAAAGTATTTAAGTGATAATTTTTAAAATATTAATATATTCAAACGAAAATAGTTAAAATTTATATATTTAATTGAGAAAAAGTTAAAAGTCGGAGTATTTATGCAATTATCCAAATTATCCACTGACAGAGGCATCTTCGTGAGTTACTATTAGACACCCCAAATCACTTCCACAATTACATGCAGCAAGGTACCCACCTACAAGCATCCCAATGGATTTCTTTTGGACAATATTCATTATTAACTCCACTTTGGTAGGAACTGGTCCAAGTTAATGGTATTGGCTAAGGTTCTATCAGTGCTATGCAGCTATCAAATAATTTTTGCACCCGATGCAGGTGTTGTCTAGCAATTTGCAAGAAACATCCAAAATTGGACGTGACCAACACGTCTCCCATTTACTCCGTCCAGACATTCGTATTCTCCGTTTATTAGTGTGGTACCCCAGTCTGCTGCATACATAACTTTGATTGCCCTAAGTTACTTTCTTTTATTTAGGCTCCGTTTATTTAAAAAAAAATAACTTTTATAAAAATATCAATTCTTAAATAAGTTATTTTTAAAAAAATATTTTCTATCATTTGACAATTACATAAAAAATTACTATAAAATATATTAATATTTATTTGATAAAGAAAATTAAAATACAAAAACAAGTATGTGATTGTTATATCAACAAATTTTGAGAAAATTTCAAAAAAGCATATTCATAATTTCACAATATAAGATACATTTAGAAAAATTTAATAAATTTTCATAAATACCGATTCTAAAATTTTAAGTCAAAAAATAAAATGTACTTTTTTAACCATTAAATTAATTAATCAAAATTATCCGTGACAAAATCAAGTCAATATTCATATTTAGTAAAAAAAAAAAATCTAATTAATCCTAGCATTGTTATTTTGGTAACTCAATTAAGAATTCTTTTTTTAAAAAAAATTAGACTGATAATTTAGTCTAAAAAATAGCTTTATAAATTATTATTTATCATTTGTAGATAATTATTCATTTGGTTTCAAAATTAATGTTGGAATAATTTGTAACCAATTATTCACTACAATTACCAATAAATTTTACAACTGATTAAAATTACAAATTATTGATTTAGTTGTAAATGAATAGTGTTGAAAAAATAATGTATTTATTAATAAATAAATTAATTTTAATTTTTTAATAAAAAATTACAGTCTTGTAATAATCATTTCCAATCATTTAAGTATAATTTAGGTGGTATTTGAGATAATAGTAAAAAAATAGAGATAAATTATTGAAATATTTATTACAAAAATAATTTTAAAGTGTAAAAATGATTTTTAAGAATATTTAATGTATCTATAAATCAAAAATCAAATATTAGTAGAAATAGAGAAAAAATAATTAAATAATTGATAAGGAATAATTAAAAATTAACTTGATATATTTTAAATAAAAAAATATAAAGAAAAAAATTGTTAAAATATATCAAGAGAAAGGTAAGTAACACAAGAGCGAGACAACTCGTGAAAAGGAAAATGTTTTCCTCTTTTTTAACTAGGAAAACATTTTTTCAAAAATATTTTATCATTTGTCGTTGACTTTTTACCTAAACATAAAACAAACATCGAAAATTTGAAAAACAAGTTCCTAAAACTTATTTTTTTTCCCAAACAAATACAACCTATTGCAAGATATATGCTATATAAATTCAAATTGGACAAGCAGTTTAGTGGTTGCTTTACATTTTGCAAAGTAGGGAGACAACAACTCCTGTTCTTAATGTTAATTTGTGGAGAATGATGTAAATAGGATTTGCAATATAAGATGTTATATAAATTTAACATCACAATCTCACTAGCTAGTTAGTAAATGAGGGTCAAAAGGATAGTATCCATTGACGGGGCTCGAGGACGGAACTCTCAAAAAGTCTACAGAATATATATATATATATATATATATATATATATATAACACTAGTTGTTAAAACTATAAATAGAACATCATTTGTATTTATATGACAAAAGCTAATAAAATTTTTTGATACAGGTGAAGTAGATGCTATTGTCAAATCAAATAAAAAAATTTTGATTGTGTAATTATTTTTTTTTCATTGTTTTTTTTTCAACGCTTGATTTGTTTTCTAACACACTTAAATGTATAGTTGAATTTCAAAGCATAATTACTACATTTTTCTTCGACATTTGGTAAAGGTGTACCGTTAGACTTTCAGAGTCACGGCTTTTTACTACCGTATGCTTCAAATGAGTGAAACTCATCTGTGTTCTATCGTCTACGTGTGCTCTATGTGGACCTCTTCATTAATGCGACCAACGGTTGTGCTGCTTCACATGGGTTTCAAGCTCCTGACTTGAAACTTATCTTAATACTGGCCCAGATCTAGCTTGTAGGCCACTAGGAGGCTAAGATAAATTTTGTAACCACCACACTAATTAGATCTAGCTGGATAGAAATTGGATTGAAGAATGGCTGCCAACAAGATTTTGATGACAATATATAGGATAAGTGATGGTTGTGATATTTGAAAATGAAATCCCAAAACATGATCCCAAATTAACATTGAAATTATGACAGGGATAATAGTGATCATGGGGTTCTATTCGAAAAAAAGTGTTGGTGCTGACGGACTGACGAGTAGAGACTCTGCTCAACAAGGAGTCTGTAGTACTTGTTCGCATATATTGCATTTGCTCCAACAGAATTTGAAAGTTAACAAACTTGATTATTTGATGTTTAAAATACTGCACAGTAATGTATGACCAGTTGGAGTACGAAGTTCGACGTTTCTAAGTAGCTCCTTTTAACTCTAGCTAGCTCTGAAGAGACTAAGATACCCCATGAAGTCTCAAGAGACCGACCGACCTGGCCAGCCTCAGAGACAGAAAGCAGAGATATATAGCTAAGAGACCAACCCCAAGAGACCTATCTAACCTCATGTTGTTCCTCGGCAAAATCACAAGAGCCCAGAGCAATCCTCCCATCAAAAACCCTAGAGTCTCGTAGAGAGAAGGATCTTCAGGGAGGACAAATGAAGAGGGATATTTGGAGCCGGATGAGATGATTAGCGAAATTCCCAAACCCAGCAACGTATTGAACATGGGACCAGCATAGCAGCCTGATATTGCAATTTGGGCCCCGTCTGCCCCACCGTTCATTGCCATAGCAACATCAGCTATCAAATCTCCAAGCGAGTTGCCCCAAGCCAGGACAGTTAATCCAAGAACTGAAGGGTTAATCCCAAGTATGTACCCTAGTGAAACCAATAAAGAGACCAGTTCTTCGGCAATAATATATGTCCAAGTTACACTCATAAAAAATCCACCAGCAAGCCAAGGGAACAGGGCCTTCTTTGGTGGACCATACTTCTTCGTTGTCACATATGCAAGATTGCCAAGAACAATCCCAATTAATCCAGCTATCAGATAGGTAACTAGGCTGCTTTTGGAACCGAACTGCTTTTCCCTTTGTGAGCTGCCTAGTGCTGCCAATAAAATTGGTGCCAATGCCACAGAAATAATTGCAAATGGCCTTGACCATCTCTCCTCACTGACCACAGGTATAGTCAATCTTCTTGGCAAGTACAGAGGTAACTCCAAAACATACAGAAGCCTGCCCAAGTAATAACAAAACGATGGATCAAGATTACAAAAAATCAATGGAATTTGCTGGCCGTCAACAGTGGTTTCGTCCACCAAAGTTGGTTTTTCATCATCAACATAACCAAGTAGCGGTACACCCCTCTCCAAAACATCCTCCTGATTGCCATCTGCAGTTGAATGATTCTTTTTCCTGTACTGAAAGTGCATGACGCAAACCACAGAGACGTAACCTAAGTAGATAGAAAGAAAAGAAATGGCGCCCCACAAGGAGATTTTTCCTACAAGAATAATAAAGAGAAGAGCACAAAGAGTGAACAGAAAGAAGCAGACATCTCTGATGAAGCTAGACTTGTCAACAGATATTTTTTTAGGACTTGTTACTAAACTTACAACACCAACCACCACACTAGACACGAAAAAAGCCCCGCCCAAAATACTATTCAGGCCAACATCACCATCGCTAGACCTAGTGAAGGAAACAATACTAGAAAAAACATCAGGAGCGCCATTGCCAAGTGAAAGAAGTGTGACACCAGCAATAGTTGGAGAAAGCTTTAAGAGTTTGGACAAGCTTTCTAAGGAGAGACAGAAGTACTGTGCTGCTGTGTTGCCTAACAGATAGAATAGAACGACCAGCCATATTAACAAGATAACATGGCCAAGTATAGGAGATTGGCCACAAGTACAGTAAAAGATTTGAAGATAGTTTATATACCCTTTAGACCTGCATCCAATATGAGACTTGATATACATACACTTGGATTTGTAATCTGTGTAGTCATGAATTCCGCTGCAGCCATCACTTTTGGTCAAATCTTCTTGAAGCACTAAAGAATGGTTTGCGGTGATATCTGGTTCATTGGATTGGTCAGGAAAATATGAGGTTGCAAGGTAGAACAAGGAGAGGAAGACAAAGGAGATGTTAAGGAAAAGTGTGCCTTTCTTGAGCTTGGCTCTTGAGGTGCTGAAACTTGCCATTCACAGGAAGCTTGTAGAGAAGTTGTTAAAGGTTTAGATACTGAGAATTGAAGTTAATAAATTCTAATTTCGGGCGGGGAATGGGCTGTATTTTGGCCGGATGATAAGGGAAATGTATTTGTGAAGTAACGAGAGAAATGGAGCACAAAAGTTCTTTCTAAAATTGAAAGAGATGTTCCAAGAATTAACCCAATCCACCTTAAGAGAAGCAGAATTAACTAACTAACAACAAAGATATCAGCCGGTGTCATCATGTCAGAGACAGCGAATTAGCAGGAAAGAGAGGTTATATGCTATATCACATCATTAACGTTAGGATCAAAGATACATTTATGGTACTAGATTTAACTTTAGAAAGATATGTATGTGAGGTTGGTTCCCCTTCAACCTGAGTACAGGGTAGATTATAGTTAAGCTGTTACTATCATTTTCTGTTCGGAAAATAAAGTGGAGGACTAGAGAGAGAGATCATGGGGAGGGAGGTTTGCTGGTCTCTTGATTGAAAATTTCCTTCAGCCATGATGAAATCGTCTATACGGGCAAAACGTTTAGTCTTCCTGCATACTGAATTCAAATTTGCAACCATTTATACGTACCTCTAATGAGTACATTCAAGGAAACTTCCTAGCAGATTAAGAAAAGAGAGGTGAAGGGAAAGAGAGGGAGCTGCACATCAATCTTGATGTAAAAGCATTCTTTCAAAACAATCTGTAGGTGATGATACATCATGGGATTTATCATTCTCACTTTTCTCATGCAACTTCTTGTCAACCAAATTGAAGACTATTTACTGATTAACCACCTAATTAAGTTCAGGGGCTGTGCATAAGATTGATGTTATTATATGGCAACCATGACGTAATTATCGTTAAGCTTTATCTTAATTCTCCCTTAATTAATTTTTAAATAACCATCATGAAAATGTGTCCCTTGCAACTATCTTTTGCTCCATTTCACTTTCAAGATTGGATCTCTATCAAATGGTTTTTCTTTTGTTTTGTTTTTTTGGACTCAATTTTTTTTATTTTATTTTTCCCCAAATTCGTTATGTTCACATATCTATTGCTCCATTTCACTTTCAAGATTGGGGGAAAATTGGTGAAATTTGACAGAAATGATGAGCTATTGAAATTCCAATATGGGAAAAAAAAAAGTTGGGAAATTGAAACTCTCTCTATCACATTCTAATATAGGGTTCAATAAGAGCAGGCCTGATCATCTGCTGTTAATATCAATAATTGAAACGGAGTTCAACTCTTTCTTCTTCTTTTTTCCTTTTTTTAAATAAGCAAACATAGTACAAGTTAAGACAACATTCCTGAACAAGCAGCACACGGAAGCCATATATTCGCAGAAAAGAACAGCACGTTTAGTTTGGATTATTGCTATCGAAGCTAGAGTTCGGTTCTTGTGGACCTCAAGAACCCAACTTTTCATGTGTTGATATCATCAAATCGCTTCACCTTCAATGCTCTTGTCATGATAGCGGTGTAAGGTTTCTGAATTTTTTTTTTTTAATTATTTCTAATCTTTTTGGGTGAAGGGTATCAAACAAATTACGTACTAAAATAAAAGAATGGGAGGCATGCACAAGATTTTGGTTGAATACATGCATCTGTTCAAGATTATGTTCTGCAACTTAGAAATTTATCACATGCTATTTGTGGTTAGCCTAATTTAATCAGGTGTTAAGGCTGAGGTGCATGATGGACAAACCAGCCTAGCAACAGAGAAAATTTTATTTAATAGATCTTTCCGGTTTTAGTTTGATTATTAGTTTTAATTAATTTTTCAAAACATGGCAACAAGAAAGTAAATATGACATGGTATTAGTTTGATTAACTAGTAAAATTATTTATAATGTCATCCCAAATGACATGAAAACAAATCTGGTTCACTGATTAGAGGAAAAAAGCTTGATTTACCAAAACCAAAACCGGATTAGCATAAGGGAAATGTGAAACTAAAATGACTAATTAGCCCACGTACAATCTTTGTTCAAAGAAAAATTACAAACATCATTGGGAGACAATTAGATTTAGAATTGAATAATTCGGTTAATGAGCCCATGGTTAATTTCTAGTTCTTCACTACTCATCTCTATCAAACTTTAGGTGAAGTTCATTGACCAAAGAATTTTCAAATCTTGTTTTAACTAATAAAAAGAGAAAATACAAGGGAAAAAAAGAAGAAGCAAGATTTGAGAAACAGAAAGCATGGAGAACAAAGGAAAAAGCTAGGGCACCCAGCAGTACAAACAATTGAAGTTAATTAGGCCAAGCCCATATCAAAATTGGAAGTGTTCGGTTGGTCAATCAGCTTTCAAGACAGAGCCCAAACATCAATATCTTCTTTGAACAAAGCATTTTTATTTATTCAAAGAAAAGACAAAGGTAAAATCTCCCTGGGATTTTAACATCCTGCCGATTTTTTTCCCCTAAAAACTGCCTTTATTTTTAGGTACCCTTGATGTTTTTGGTTTTGCTTTTCTTTTAGACCTTTCATTTGTATCAATTAGGGTACATAATAGTTGTTAGCTAATCTCACAACCATCAAGGAAGATATTTTGAAGTTAAGGTGTCATTCTAAAATCTCAATAAATTATTTTATATTATATCAAATAGCAGAAAAATGAAAGTAATAGAGAAAGTTAATGGAAAAGATGAACGAAAAAAGAAAAAGGAATCTCAAGGGAGAAAATTTGAAAAAAATCCATTAGTGGTAAATTTTCTCATGATCAATTCAAAAGGAGATTGTTAACGACTAGACAAGCCTGGACAAACTTGAATTGAGTTTTTAGGGGTTTTTAGATGATAAAAAGTGAAAATGATACAAATGAAAATAAAAATTTTATAAATCTGTATGAGACTTGAATTTTTAGTTTTTAGGTTTTGTTAGATAATAAAAAATGAGATGATGGAAATGAAAACGAAGTTTTATTCTTATTTTGTAAGTGTTTGGTAAAAAAAAAGAATAATAAAAATGAAAATTAAAATTAAAAATAGTTGCATTCCAATGAAGAGAGGTGCTAATGAAAACAAAAAATGAGATTGAGATTGAGATTTTTTTTTCAAAATAATGATATATTATTTTTATTTATTAGACATCAATTACTTCTATCAAGCATCATTACATTGGCGATGGCGGTAAAAAATAAAAAATCATGCATACTCTCCAATTTTTCATAGCTCTCGAGCTTCGTCTCTTTATATACATGGTGAAACACAATATTGTTCACCTACCGTTTGATAGTTTAAATAACTTTCTTGTGTTTTTTTCCTAAATATCATCGGTCTTGACATTTTTAATAAAATAAATTTTTCATCCTCAACTTTTAAATTGAATAATTCAAAATTGTCACTCGATCATAGTTTTTGAATTTTTTTTTTGATCTATGTAATGTATATAAATATTCCAATCAAAACTTTAGTATCCGAATTGAGAATTTAATCACATTATGTGCAAATTAGATTTCGTAAGAAAATAATTAAACTAAACATACACAATAATAAAAAACGAGAAAATAATTTAGTTATAAGAGTAAAACTACAAGAACATTAAAATTAGTGAAAAATCATTTATCATAGAGATAAAAATTATGGACCAATCTCGAAATAATTCACTATAATTAAGAAAGCAATATAATCACTTAAATTTTTCTATGAACTTGAAAAGAAAAAATTCTACAAGTGACCTCTTTAGTCGTGAAAAAAACAAACACTAGGATTTTTATACTAAAGAAGTGAAAAAGTTTTTAAGTTAAATTATTTAATAGCATAATTAAAGCAAATCATTTACATAGTTTTATCCACTCGTTTACCTTATGTAGTAAAACAATAGCATGCCCCATGTCCAGCGTCCAACCTTCTCTTTTGTGCCATGTTGGATTCCCAAGTTCCCTTACCATGTGTTTGAATTCGGTTGAAAGTGAAGGAGAGGAAAGTAAAGTTTCCTACGTTTGGGTTAGGGAGGAACGTTGTGGAAAGAAAAAAATTGTAACAAGTGGGACCTATTTTCCTCCCAAATTTGGGAGGAAAAATGTGATACGTCAATTTTTTTTTTCATTCACATTTTTGCCCTATGCCTCACTGTCCCCTCATTTGCTAACCTCTGCAAGTAACAAAACAAATCCGCAAAATAGATCCGTAAATCAAGACAAAGATCAAAGGCACATCGCTTCCGCACATCGCTTATCGGCGTCGCTCGTGCTTTCATGTCTCTCCGTCAACACTGGGTGTTTTTGATCAACGAAGCTTACACCCATTCGTATGAAGTATTTGCATGAAGTGTTTTCGAGCGGTCGACAAATTTGCTTGTGTTTATAGCTGGGTTGGTGATTAAGGCAATTGGATTCCAAGTTAATTTATTAGTTTATTTTATCACATTTTCGTTATGGGCTTTCTATTATTCTTATATGTTAGCTCGTTGATCCATTTAGAGCAGTAAGGTCTGGGTAAAGGATTTATTGTTCGAAAGTTGGTTTCTTTACGTAATCCGATTGATAGGATTTTTGGTTCGTTTATAGATGATTGGTTAAAAGAACATAAAACAATATGGAAGCTTTTGATGCAGTTTGGTCGGGGTTTGTTTTGGTCATGTTATTTGTGTCATTTTGTGTGGATTATTAGTGTTCTTAGTTATGCTTAGTGGGTGTTTAATGAGATATTTTGTGGAAGAACCGATACAAATAAGACAGGATTTGAATTTTGATTATACAAATAACGATCGATTGCATGTGTGCTCGTAAAATTTTATGATGGTGTTGCTTGTGGTGTAAATTATAAGGAGAATATTAGAGATGTCAAGAGCTTAAAGACCGGGTTATACCACTTAATCACAAGTTGTAAGTTTTCTAACCGATATCGCCATGTGAGAACTTGGGGGCTTAATACTAAGCGAATTACATTGGACTACTACCTCATATGTTAGGGAAGATTTGTTAGCTTTCTATTTATGAAATATTCCTTTGATGAGGCAATGTGATGGTTTCTATAATGTTG